AGACCCGTGAGTAATAAAAAAACTATATGAAGAATATAAAAAATTAACTTTTAAGGATTTAGGAATGGTAAAGATGCAAATTCAACAAAGTTAATATTTTATTCATATCTTTGTATAATATATCTATATATATATATTAATACAATACACAACTATTTTCACCCGTTTTTTATATTATAAGTTATGTGTTAGCAATTTGAAAATTTGTTCATATATGTTTTGTGAGTTTTGATATAGATTGTTAAAAACTTGTCATAGTATTTATCATTTATTTTTAGAGTAAAATATATTCAGCCACAAGGATTTGGCTTTTTGGTTAGGTGTACTGCTGGTTCGGTATATCTAACCAAAAAGTTGGAGGTTCGCATTGGCAATGAAAGAGAACAATAAAATATATTCATTTATCTTTAATTTCTTAATATTAATGAAGCCAACCTATACCTTTCAAAATATACACTTTAGTTTCTTTTGTGTTTTTTTTTTAACTCTGTTGAAAGTAATTTATCAAAGATCTCCAAGGTGAATCATGGGCAATTTAAAACTTACTAGTATACCCTTCGCCCAAACCATTAATTCTATTCCTAACCATATCACTCTCCCTTGCCTTGGCACAAAAACAACGCATGTAACACACGACATAATGATGCACTTTTTTTTTTATTCAATCAATTATGCACCATAATAAATAAGTACAGTTCCAGCATACCCGAAAAGAATACACTTCCAAAATTTATCTATTTATGCTAATGAAATTGGTCCAAAATATTGGGTTGAAAATTAATTAAAAAAGAGCTCAAATTAGCAGCTACGCGTAAAGTAATTTGCTTGGTTTAAGAGCTTTGTCATTTTCCTATTTTCTAAATACAAAGTCAGGACTTATAATATTTTGATCAAAATAAGCTTAAAGAATGCGTTCATAAAATATTATTGTTACTTATTTTTCTTTTTTATCATAATCATTTTGTACATGAGAACTCATAATAATGTGGTGTTCTCATTATCATAATGTAAGATATATTCCAAAAAACAATTGGTGCTCTCACAAACATGAAAATTATATAACTAGAGATAACAAGTTGTCTGGCCAAATACCAAGAAGCATTGAAAACTTGACTGTGCTTCAGGATTATATATCTTGATGATAATATCTTAGAAGATATGCTTTCAACATCATAATGTATAACTTTTTATTAATTTTGTGTTATTTTTGCATGTTATCATTGGTCATGTGGTCCATCCGTCAACCATATTTGTCTAATATTGTTTAGAAATATTACTTGTTTACCACTATTTTTTTTTTGTTAAAAATAGAGATGAGCATATAATATTGTTATTGATTTTGGTGAAGATTTGCATTTTCAATTCCATGTTCTCCTATATGGGTATTCGAATGATCAAAGTTAGCGCACTTTATTCAAATTTACTTCCCCTGGGAAGATTAATGTTTGATAATCCCTAGACTACTGTTACTTTTCAAGGATATATACAAAGATGCTTTGGAAATTTGATTTTGCTTTAAAAATTTGATCTCGGTCACAATAATTTACAAGGTTACTATTAGTTAATTGTAATTTGGTATCATCAACTTTTGTTTCCTTTGTGTTGTTATTTTGTTTTTGAAACTTAATAATTATAACTTAAATTCTAATAGCTTTCTAGTCAAAATACCATTAATTATATGTAATATTAGAGTTGAAATATATTCATTTGAGTGATAATGATAATATGGAGTACATCAATATTAAAATATAAAGTCTTCACTTCAGTTGTTTCTCTTAATTGTAAGAAGAAGAAAAAAATTTGAAAACAAATATAAAACTTTAATCCCCATAGTTTTACCAAATTCTAAGAATCAGTCCCTAGGGAAAATAATGAATTATGATCTATTTATCTCTATTTAAGAGATAAAACAGAGGTAACACATACCACTATACACAGTGCCAAATTCTATTTATTTATATTTAAGGCGTTTGGGCAAAGGTGAAAGAAAGAGAAGAGACTTTGAAATTTGGTTATTGATCTTGTTTTTGTTTTTCTTAGTAATGCTTAATAGTTAACCACATCATCTATCATATAAGAATTCATTTACAATATTATCACTTGCTTGTATTTCATCGGTTCTATCAGTAGGGCCGTGTGTAACACTAATGCATTAAGGCTGTCGTCTTAGGCCTAAAAAATACTCCCTCCGTCCTAAATTATAAGACACTTTTAGATAAAAATCTCACATACCATAAAACTCATCAAATATACTTTATTACCTTACTTTTTCAGGACAAAAATATAAACTTTCAAAAATGCCTTTCATTTAATACTCTTCAATGAAAGAATATTGAAAAGACAGAATATATGAGAAGGGTAAATTAAAAAAATATCATTAATGAACTTATTTTCATCAAAGTGTCTTATATTTTGAGATATTGAATCTTCCTTAAAAGTGTCTTATAATTGGGACGGAGGGAGTATTCACTTATATCCTATACAATCGGTCATTCTTTTGTTCAGTAAACATTAATGTTAATTATATATTCTCATCAAGAATTTATTACTTACTTTTATCTTAGATAACCAATAATTAATTTTTTACTAAGCATTAATGTTAATTATACTTCATTAAAAATTTATGGCTGCCTATACTCTGCTACAACCACTTTGCCATTTCATCTCTTCTTTTCTCACAACCAAATCATTTTTTTCTCTACCATTATTTTCTTATTAAAAAATAGCTCTTGATTAGCCATTTCCATGGGCACGGCTTGATTGATAACTTGATTTTCCATTTGTCATTATGAAGTCCACAAGTCCTTTTATTTGTTCATAGGAGTTTTGCACTTCTATTAAAAGAATTAAGAAATCCAATTGTAGATGGCCATATATATTCGGTGTGTTTTTTCCTCTTTTACCCTGTATTTATTATTGTTCTAATTTTTTATAGAATTTGAATTGGTAAAATAATAATACAATAGGCCTCTAAAATAGTGTCACCTTAGGCCCTAAAACTTCTTTAGATATCCCTATCTTTGAGTTTTCGGTTTTTAAGGTTGTAGAGGACTGAACCAAGAGCCAGTTCCTAATACAATAGGTGGCATTGGATGGCCCCATTTGTTTAGAAAACCATGACTTCTTTTGATTATGTCATCATTAGTTTCAATTGTCCCCAAATGTGTCAAAATTAGAGACCTTGGCTTGGAATTTTAGTTCTATCCACGGATCTATTCCACTTGAGATTGGAAGGCTTCAATGTTTAAGGATTTTATATTTAGCAATGAATAATATTTCAAGAAAAATACCTCCAGCTATTTCTAACTTATCCTCACTTGAATTGATGTCATACAACTCCTTAGTAGGCGTGTCTTTTATAATATTGGATAAATTCATATATTTTCTCTAAATCATGTCAAAAAATTTAATACGTGCTAGAATGTCTTAGAATAAGCTATTTACACTATCTTATTCAACATTGATTTTGTTGGAGAGGGGAATGGGGTATATATATATATTGATTATGTTGAGTAGGGGGCAATAAATGAATCTACAAATTATATATAATTTGAATTTATTGTGATATTGGTAACTCTGTCATTATGCTTTCAACACAATATAGTGTATTAACATCATTTAGTATTCTCTGCACTGCCAGGAACAAATATTTTGCATGCTCTTATTAATTTTTGTCCTTTTCATTTGGGTTCATGGAGCCATAATGCAAGAGATACTTCTTAATGTTTTTTAAATTTATATGATTTTTTATACAACATATGTTGTCCGTGATCATCTCCATAAAGTTATATTGTATTTCTATGATTTTCTATAATATATACAAAAGCACTAATATCAGTGTTTTTATTTGTTATTGCGATAATGCAGGAGATATTCCAAATGAAATTGCCAATCTTTCAAATCTTAAAATTATGTCTTTGGCTCAAAATCAACTCATTGGCTACATACCTAGAAGCATTGGAAGTTTGGTTTCGCTTCAGGAATTAGATCTTGGTTTCAATAATTTACAAGGTATAAGTTTTATGCAAATTATAATTCACTATAGATTATTTCTTTTTTCTTACTTCTTGTCTCTTGCAACTTGAAATTATGAACTTAGATGCTAATCTTTTTCGTCAAAATGCTATTAATTATATACCCCAAAATGTAAAAGTCTAGAATATTTCGCAAAACAAAAATTGGATTATATTTTTATACATAATTTGTAATATTTTATAATGTCATTGAGAACACAACCTGTTACAAAGATTTCAAATATAAAAGGGGATAATCTCGGTTAGGTCTCTTGCAAGGAAACTTTCTTTAAATTTCAAAGGTCTTTTTCTTTTTCCAACTGCTGATATATTCCTAAGGCAAATAAACCAGTACAGTACAACTGAAACCGCAAACGACAACAGAGCAACAAAACAAGGAAAGCAGCAAAGAAAAATCAGAATCAACAACAACATAAGATAGATCAGCCAACTAATTTTAACTAGTAGACACCCATCCTATTAGAACCAAAAACAATATGCTTGATTTTTAATTTCAAAGGACTTTAATGAAATTAAAAATCAAGAATATTTACTAAATCCAATTTTAATAAAGGAAGGGCATTTTATTAAAAAAGATGAGTATTTTTGTAAATTTTAATTTTTAATTTTATAAAAATTTCTTGGGACTTAAATGCAAATTTTCTAATTTAAATTTAATGTAAAAATTAAATACAAATAATTTTAACTAAATATTGGCACGCGTCTCTTTTTTAACTTTCCCACTTAATATCTCTTCAAATACAAACAAAAATGACACTGCACATGAGGTAATAGAAGCACAAAATCTATCATTCATAGGTGCAGCTTTTAAACATATATATCAACACTTGTAGTATTGTAGTTTTTATTTTGTTATATTGATACACATACATAATTATATAAAAAGTTGGTTTATAACTTTTGAAATTTTCTTGATAATTCTATCACCACAATTGTAGTCTTACCTTTTCTTAAAAGGTTCTATTTATATAATTACCATAAATCTCAATGAAATAATATATTTAGTTTGAATATTTTAAAGTATATCATATTTTATAATTAAATTTTTGATATATTTAGATTAAATATTTTAAAGTATATCATATTTTATAATTAAATTTTTGGTTAAATATATAGATTAAATATTTTAAAGTATATCACATTTTTACTTTTCCAAAATATTTACTCTTTTTCATTGTTTTCACTTAGTTAATTATAAGAATTTTAAGGGATAAAAGGCCCCGTTTGTTTCAGCTTATTTTATGAAGAAATTTATTTTTTTGAAAAGAATTATTTTATGATTTTAATGATGTTTGTTTAAATTTTTGAAAATAATTAGAACAGAAAAGAAATTTTTTGATTATTTTAAGAAACTACTTTGAGAAAGAATGTTTTAAAAATGTGAGATGCAAGAAGATATACTAAGATTTTAAAATAATTAAATAATAAATTATTTTTAAAAAATAAATAAAGATATTATAAAATTTAAAAATAACTAATCAATGATTACTTTTTTATTATTGTAACGAAACATAAAGTAATGTATGCTTTTTATAAAATTTTTACAAAATAATTCTTTTATAAAATCCCTAAATTATCTAATAATGATGTATTTTTTAATCTTTAACAAATGGACCTGAAAGAATACATAATGTTATGTTAATATATAAATAGAAAGTAAAGTTTGGATGGATCCAACGTCTAATTCAACGTTGTTTTAGCCAATTTTGTTACTTATCAATCACAGTCAATTTTGCTCTTATTGGCTATAAACAGCATTAGAATTTTAATAAGAGGAATAAGCGGGTGAGAAATCAAATTCTAATTGGGCTTTAAAAAATGATTAGAGTGGCAGCATGGCATATATTGGGCTTTATTTGAACAAAAATTAATCTTTAGCATGAAATGCCAAAAAAACAAGTTCAAGCTATATCATATATGGATCCGCCACTAAAATAAATCAAACATATGATGACTGGTCATAAAATATGTAATCAATTTATCCAACTGATAGCTTTTCACACGTCAGAATTTTATAGATGGCATGAAAAAAAAAACAATTTGTAAAGACAACCAAATTATTAAGCTATCTCCATTATTTTGAATTGGGGCTGAAATGAGAATCAAAGGTGGGTGGGAGATTTTTTTAAAAAAAATATATAAATATATACATAAACTGTGGTATATATTTGAATTTTCCATTTAAGTTCTAGTATTGATATTTTTAAAAGTGATTTACTAATTTTATGATTTGAGAGAAATGTTATTACATAATTGATGGTGTATAATAATATAAAACTTATAAACACCTTGTTGGTGGACGATCTATAAGTACATTTGTAAGTAATTTTTGAGGAAGGCTTCTCTCAGCCTGGTGAGCCCCCAAACCCACCTCGCCTAGATATTCTAAAAGCAAATATAAAACTTATAAATATAAATGTATAAAAATAAAAACATATTAACAACATATTAACTTGAAAAAATGGCAATAAAATCCCATCGAAGTATAAAAATAACACTTAGGTTCCTCTAAATACCATAATTCCTCTAAAGTCTTAGTGATTTCTGTTTAGCAATGAAAAATTTATAAACTTTATATGATATAAATTTTGGTGGTGATGAAATCTATTTAGCTATTTAAAAAATAAAAGAAAATAATTTACTCTTTTTATGGGTAAGTCTATTGCATATAAATCCAAAACACATTTTTTCTGTGTTATTTTTTTTTTTTTTAAGATTTGCCTTTCCAACTTCTTGCCCTCCTCTACGGGTATTCAAATTATTAAAGTTAGCTTATTTTGTGCATTGATGAAAACAGCTTTGCAAAAGTTTGCTTCCTTGTTCAAATTAATTTCCCCTGAGAAAATTAATGTTTGGTAGTTCTGTAACTGTTATTTTTCAATGCCATAGTGATGATAATAATTTTTTAAATTGGTTCGGATAAAATAATCCAATGTTCTTTGTAATCCACTTTTAGCTAGACAATTTGTCACTTTAGATGTTTTAGAATTTCTTCTGTAGTTACGTTAAAACCATGTAAAATTTTTCAAACAATTATTGCACAATATGTTGCCTATAATTTGCATGTGTTGTTAGACTTGGTAAAAAAGATTCATCATATATAGACACTCATAGGATTAATATGCCTTCTTTTTTGTGTCTTTATCACATGCATGGGAAATATTCTCAATAGATATACCTGTGACCAATTTAAATTCAATACCTTTAAGCGTTAACTTTTTTTTGCTTTTGTAGGTGATATACCAAATGGTATTGGAAAATTGGATATGCTTCAAGTGCTAGGTCTTGAACATAATAATTTACAAGGTAACTTTTTCATCAAATTATGATATTCTGGCTACGATAGGTTTTTTCCTCTCTTTAATTGTTTTCTCATTATTACTATGAAGAGCCATGCATTTTTTTTCCTACTTTACCTTGTTTTAATAAATGTGTATGGGCGAAATTTTCTTTTTTAACAATTCTTTAAAAAAAATTTCTTTTCCATAAAATATTAGTTCCGGTTGGCCAAAAACAATTTATTTTCCAATAAATATAGAAATGCGGTTTAGGATGTCGTGTGGAGCATTTTGTTTGATTGGAACAAACGAAGCTCCGTTCATAGCGAGGAAAATGGATGTGCCTTTATTGATTCGCACATTAATTCATAAAATTAATATTTTGTTGAGCTTCCTAGACATTTTTTTAAATTCTTCAATATTTTCTGTTATCTTTTAGTAATGTTCTGACACAAAACAAGCACCATTTCCCTTTTTTAAAAATAGTTATCAATATAACTACATATATTTCCAATATGATATCCATGCATTATGTGAATTAAAATTACATAATTGTGAAGAACCTATGTGGACCATCACCGTTCAATCTTAATATTTTTGAATCTATGTGAAGCTCAATAAAATATATTTTGAAACATTAAAGACTATATAAACCCAAAAAACTGTTCTTTCCTTTTCTTCAAATAATTACACGTTGACATAAATAAGTATAATATTAAAGAAATTATTTTAGTATTCAACTTGCATGTTATATAGAAAAAATAACTATTTTTTATGATCTAATCTTTTTTTTCCTGGCTACATGTAGCTTGTGATATTATATTAAGAGTGTAACGTTGAATGCATATAGACACAAAAAAGGGGAGAAAAAAATTGCATGCAATTGGCACTGTAGGAGGGCATCCACTTCCATGTGTCACGGGTTATATTTTTATTTTGAAAATTGGGACAGTAATCATCAAACTATAAGTATATGATTATTTTTTCCTTTTCACGTTTTTTGTGAATAATAATTATAAACATATTTTTGTAAGCACATTCTATGAAATATTTTATAAGAATTGGATGATTCTTGAAATTAAATAAAAAAAATTATAAACTTGAAAGACGATGCCTAGCTGAGCATTGGCCTTAATCATCTCATAGAGTTATATTGTATCATTTTAACACATTGCATGAAACTTTAAAATTACAAAATCTATCTCTCCTTACGAAGGCATCTCATATGCCTGAATTTAAATTAAATTTCTTAATTAAAAACTTGATTTTACAAAGACATCTTAATTAATTTTCTTTGTCATAATTATTGTTAGTAATTCTAATTTTTTTATATATGTAAGTCTTTATGATCAAAGTGTTTTGTGAATTTTGATCTATTGTTAGAAAATTTTCATATTATTTATGATTCATTTTGAGAGTGAACTATATTCATTTATATTTAATTTTATTAATATTACATGAGCCATCACATAATTTTAAAAAATACACAATTAAATTTAATTTTTAACTCTTTTAAAAAATACTATATCAAAGATTCTAAAATACATTTTTATTTAGTAAAAAGTGCATCTTAGCAATTTGAACTTACTTGTTTACTCTTGTTAAATGCCATTGATTCCATTCCTAATCTACACCACTTTCCCTCCCCCGCCTTTGCACAAAACAATGCGAGTACGCAACAATGCACTTTTTTGTATTTATCTAATTATTTATGCAACAATTTCTACCTTCCTATGCTGCGACAAGAAGGGCATTATTTACATTTATATCTTCACCATCATTGGTCAATGTACTTTAGAGCCCTCAGTTACACATTTAGATTTGCTGCTTACATGCACATAATTGTGTTGTGAAATTTACAACACTTTGGTGTCCTTCAAATATGGAATTGTATTACTCTGTTTTTTGGACTACAAAATAGAGGTAAGCATCCAATACTGTTATTGATTACATGAAGATTTACCCTTCCAAATCCATGCTCTTTTCATTTAAGTCTCTCAATAGTTTCTTTTTCTTCTATTTATTTTTCAATAATCAATTCATTGAAGATTTTCCTTCTAATTCGAACTATCAGATTATGGGTTGTCTATGTCTTTAATTTATTGCTCTATCTCAACTTCTCCTTTACTGTTTTTGTTATCTTATGTTCTTTTGACTTCTCTTCTCTCAATCTCAAAAGTGGGTCTTTGTTGCTTGTTTGAAAATCTAATTTTTGAGAAAAAATATAAAAAAAAGAGAGAGAATTGTGGAATGATGTTGAATATATAATTTTTTTTATATAAAGTTTGCCTGAAGTGAAAGTTATTATTCACATAATTATTATTTAGACCCTCGTTAGAATTTCAAATTGGAGATAATATTTAAAATGTGTTTAAATATAGATTTATATACTAATGTTGAAGTATTGTAAGTGCCCAATCATTGTCATAGTTTGTTCAATAATTGAGATAAAAGTTTTTTTGGCCAAACATAAAAACAAGAATAAGTTTACTAGTTAAGCCCGTGGCTTTTAATTTGTCAAATGAATAATACAATCTTGTAAAAAACTCCTTTTACCTCAAATCAAATATGTGATTTCACCCAAAAAAAATTAAATGTGAATTTCAAGGCCAAAATAATAATAATAATAAAGCGAAATCTGCTACTCAAGTTGGAAAGCTTCATTCTCTCTTTTTAACATTCCTACCTAAAATACAAATAAAAATAATTTAGCGCCACTAAGATAAAATTAGAGAATCTGGATAATTCTTTATGCTTCAAAACTCATTTGCAATATGTATTGGAAATTTGATTATGCTTGAAGGCTTGGATCTTTCATCTAATAAATTACAAAGTACTGTTTCAGCAAATGATATAAGTGATCTTCATTTTTTTTCTTTAATAAAATATTTATGCATAAGCAAACATATAGCAATGTCTGTACTTATGAAAAAGTGTTTGTATGTTTTTGTTGTTATATTGCAAGATGCATTCCCAAAAATAACTTGCAGCAATTTTTTTATTCGTAGGCAATATTTGTCTACATGCATGCATGTTGAAGTGCAATATTTTAAACATATAGAAAGAAATATTAAAAAAAATAGTAAATGATTGTGAGGGACCTGTGTGAACCATCACTGCACTATGCTCTAAAATATTTTTCTAAGTTATGCGAAGCTCAATAAACATGTACTAAAAAATGAAGAATGAAAATATATATATATATATATATAACGTGTGAAGATTTGTCTGATATTGTTTAGAAATATTACTCTGTTTACCTCTATTTTTTTTTGTTAAAAATAGATATGAGCATATAATATTGTTATTGATTTGTGAAGACTTACATTTTTCAATTCCATATTCTCCGATATGGGTGTTCAAATTATCAAAGTTAGCACAATTTGTTCAAATTAACTTCCCCTAAGAAAATTATTGACAGATAATTCTTAGACTACCGTTATTTTTCAAGGATATATACAAAGATGCATTGAAAATTTGATTTTGCTTTAAAAATTTGATCTTGGTTACAATAACTTACAAGGTATACTATTAGTAAATTGTAATTTGGTATCATCAATTTTTTGTTTCCTTTGTGTTGTTGTTTCGTTTTTTAAACTTAATAATGATAAATTTAAATGCTAATAGCTTTCTAGAAAAAATACCATTAATTAAATGTAATATTAGAGTTGAAACATATTCATTTGAGTGATAATGTTAAAATGCAGTGCATCAGTATTAAAATATAAAGTCTCCACCTCAGTTATTTCTCTTAAATGGTAAATAAGAAGTAAAAAATTGAAAATTATAAAACTTTAATCCCTATAGTTTTACCAAATTCTAAGAATCAGTCCCTAAAGCAAATAATGAATTATGATTCTATTTATCTCTGTTTTAAGAGCCAAAAACAGAGGTAAACATATATGGCTATACACAGTGCCAGATTTTATTTATTTGTATTTAAGGTGTTGTGCAAAGGTGTAAGAAAGAGAAAGAGACTTTGAAATGTTGTTATTGATTTATTTTTCTTAGTAATGCTTAATAGTTAACCACGTCATCTATCATATAAGAATTCATTTGCAATTTTATCACTTTCCTAGTATTTCATTGGTTCTATCAGTAGGGCCGTGTGCAACACCAGTCCATTAAGGCTGACGTCTTAGGCCTAAAAAATGTTCACTAATATCCTATATAATCGGTCATTCTTTTTCTTATCAAGCATTAATGTTAATTATATATTTTCATTAAGAATTTATTACTTACTTTTTTTTATCTTAGATAACCAATAATTAATTTTTTACTAAGCATTAATGTTAATTATATCTCTTCATTAAAAATTTATGGCTGCATATACTCTGCCACAACCACTTTGTCATTTCACCTCTTCTTTTCTCTCAACCAGATCATTTCTTGCTCTACCAAAATTTTATTATTAAAAAAATATAGCTCTTACTTAGTTGTTTCCATAGGCACGGCTTGATTGATAACTTAATTTTTCATTTGTCATTATGAAGTCTACAAATCCTTTTATTTGTTCATAGGAGTTTTGCACTTCTATTAAAAGAATAAAGAAATCCAATAATAGATGGCCATGTATATTAGGTGTGTTTGTTCCTCTTTTACCCTTTATTTGTGATTGTTTTAATTTTTATAGAATTTGAAGTGGCAAAATAACAACACATTAGACCTCTAAAATAATTTTGTGTTAGGACCTGAAACTCCTTTAGATGTCCCTATCTTTGAGTGTTTGGTTTCAAAGATTGTAGAGGACTAAACTAAGAGCTAGTTCCTAATATAATAGGTGGAATTGGATGGCCCAGTCTGTTTAGAAAACCATGACTTTTCTTGTGGTTATGTCATCATTAGTTGCTATTGGTATTAGACAAGTCAAAATTAGAGATCTTGGATTCAAATTTTAATTCCATCCATGGATCTATTCCACTTGAGATTGGAAGGGTTCGAGATTTAAAGATTTTACATTTAGCAAGGAATGATATTTCAGGAAAAATACCTCAAGCTATTTCTAGCTTATCCTCACTTGAATTGATGTCATGCAACTCCTTAATAGGTGTGTCTTTAATAATATAAGATAAATTCATATATTTTCTCTAAATCATTTCAAAAAATTTAGTGCATGCTAGAATGTCTTAGAATAAGCTATTTACAATATTTTATTCAACATTGATTTTGTTGGAGAAGGGAATGGGATATATATATATATATATTGATTATGTTGAGTAGGGAGCAATAAATGAATCTACAAAGTATATATAGTTTTAATTTGTTGTGATATTGGTAACTCCGTCATTAAGCTTTCAACACAACATAGTGTATTAATATCATTTAGTATTCTCTGCACTGCAAGGAAAAAAATATATTTTGGATGCTTTTATTAGTTTTGTCCTTTTCATTTGGGTTCTTGGAGCCATAATGCAAGAGATAGTTTTTTAATGGTTTTTAAATTTATATGATTTTTTTATACAACATATGTTGTCCATGATCATCAACATAAAGTTATATTGTATTTCTATGATTTTCTACAATATATACACAAGCACTCATATCAGTGTTTTTATTTGTTATCGCGATAAACATAATTTTGTTAAACATAATTTTGATAAACATAATTCTCTGCACTCATACACAATGCAGGAGGTATTCCAAATGAAATTGCCAATCTTACGAGTCTTAAAATTATGTACTTGGGTTATAATCAACTCATTGGCTACATACCTACAAGCATTGGAAGTTTGGTTTTGCTTCAGGAATTAGATCTTGGTTCCAATAATTTATAAGGTATAATTTTTATTCAAATTATAATTCACTATAGATTATTTCTATTTTCTTACTTCTTGTCTCTTGCCATTGAAATTATGAATTTAGATGCTAATCGGTTTTGTCAAAATGCTATTTATTATACATCCCAAAATGTATAAGTCTAGTATAAATTTTTTTTTTCACAAAAAAAAATGGATTATATTTTTATACATAATTCGTAATATTTTATAATGTCGTCATTGAGAACTCAACCTGTTACAATGATTTCAAATATAAAAGGGGATAATTTCAGTTAGGTCTCTTGTACGGAAACTTTCATTAAATTTCAAGGGACTTTTTTTCCCCCAACTGCTGATATATTCCTAAGGCAAATAAATCAGTACAGTACAACTGAAACTGCAAACAACAACAAAGCAACAAAACAAGGAAAGAAACAAGGCAAAAATAGAATCAGCAACAACATAAGAGAGATCAGCCAAATAATTTTACCTAGTAGATAAGGCGAAGGAAGTGATGGTGAAGACACCCATCCTATTAGAACTAGCAACAATATGCTTCATTTTTAATTTCAAAGGATTTTAATGAAATTAAAAATCAAGCATATTTACTACAATCGAATTTTAATAAAGGAAGGGTATTTTATTAAAAAAAGATGAGTATTTTTGTAAGTTTTAATTTTAAATTTTATAAAAATTTCTTGGGATTTAAATGCAAATTTTCTAATTTAAAAATTAAATAAAAAGAATTTTAAGTAAATATTGGTCCATGTCTCTTTTTTAACTTCCCCACCCTAATATGTCTTCTAATACAAGCAAAAATGACATTGTACGTTAGGCAATAGAAGCATAAGCCGATCACGAAATCTAACATTCACAATCGAGATGCAACTTTTAAACATATATATCAACTGTCATAGTTTTGTACTTTTTATTTTGTTATATTGATATACAGACAAATATATAATTATATAAAGAGTTAGTTTATAACTTTTGAAATTTGGTTGATAATTCTATCATCACAACTTTAGTCTTCTATTTTTTAAAAGGTTCTTCTTACTATAACCCCCATAAGTCTCAATGACATAATATATTTAGATTAAATATTTTAAAGTATATCTTATTTTATAATAAAATTTTTGGTTAAATATTTAGATTAAATATTTTAAGGTATATCACATTTTTACACATCCAAACTATTTACTCTTTTTGGTTGTTTTCACTTAGTTAATTATTAAGAATTTTAAGAGATAATGGCCCATTTGTTTCAGCTGTTTTTTTTTTTGGAAAAAGATCACTTATTTTAAGACACTTCTTTGAGAGAGAATGTTTTAAAACTGTGGGATGCAGGAAGATATGCTAAGAGTTTAAAATAATTAAATAATGAATTATTTTTTATAAAATAGAAATGAAGGAAAAAATATTCGCAAGTGGTAACAAGTTGTTTGGTCAAATACCAAAAAATATTGGTAAAAATTAACATAGAAGGTATACTTTCAACTAATCATAATGTTTAACTTTTCATCAATTTTGTGTTATTTTTGTGGCTTGTTATTGGTGACGTGGTGTGTTCGTCAACTGCGTATAATATAGAACAGAAGCAATGTGGTCAAGAAGATATTTCATATTGGTGATTAATTATTAAAGAATAAATGAGCAAATCCTGAACTTTAGGTCCTTAGCACCATGGACTTTAGACTCGTTTATTGTGCAAATTATTTGCTCAACTTTTAAAAATAATACAGTCTTGTCCTTGCCATTAACAAAAGTTAGTTTTGACAGTTAGCGACTAGAAAATGAAAGAAAATGACATCAAAAATTATATAAAAGAACCTAAAAATTACAAACAAGGACAAAAATTACAAAAAAGGATCAAAAAATCTTTTTGGTCATTTTTGATAATTTTTAAAATCCTTTTCTATAATATTATCGTCCACTAATGGTCAAAGTTACTTTTATTAATGGTAGGGGCTATATTACATTGTTTTCAATAGTTGAGTGAACAACTTGTACAATAAACAAGTTGAGAATATATAGTACAACTGAACCTAAAATTTAGGGGGTAATTTGCTCATTTCTCCATTATTAAATATATATTCCTCACAAATCTCATCTGAAGTCAATCTATTCCTTCAATCAAATGTGTCTTCATCAAACATTTTGAAATGAAAAATTTATAAACTTTATATGATATAAACTTTGGCGGTGGTGAAATCTATAGCTATTTAAGAAATAAAAGAAAAAATAATTTTTTTGTGAGTAAGTCTGTTGCATATATCCAAACCACATATTTTCCTTGTTATTTATTTATTTTTTTGAATATTTGCCTTTCCAACTTCGTGGCCTCCTATATGGGTATTCAAATTGTTAAAGTTAGCTCATTTTGCGCTTTGATGAAAACAGCTTTGCAAAAGTTTACTTCCTTGTTTAAATTAATTTCCCTGAGAAAATTAATGTTTGATGATTTTGTAACTATTATTTTTCAATGATATATTCTTGATAATAATTCTTTAATTTGGTTAAGATACAATAATCCAATGTTCTTTGTAATTCTCTTCTAGCTAGCTAGACAATTTGTCACTTCAGATGATTTATAGAATCTCTTTTGTAGTTGCGTTAAAACCATGTAAAATTGTTCAAACAATTACTACACAATATGTTGCTTATGATTTGCAAGCGTTGTTAGGGTTTTGACTAATTTCATCCTTATCTGGCACTTGTTGTAATTCTTCCAATATCTTACTTTCTTAATATGTGGCATTTTTGGTAATTGTTCAAAGTCTTGCACAAGCTGCCATTTTAGAGTCTTAACCTTTGTCTCATGTGTTTGCTTGTAGGTTCAAAGTATTATTTGTGTGAAATTCTGGTGTTACTTATAAATGATAATCTAAAAGTAACCATTAAATATTGTTCTTTTAAGTGATGATGGTAAGGACGTGTCTAAAGTGTAAATTTTGTTTTTCCTTACTTAATGTATAAGAGGAACCAGCAGCTTTGGATCTTATGATTGTTTTTGTTTTTCGTGGGTAGAATAGATTGATTAATGTGGCAGTATAGTCTTTGATGTAAAATACAAATGAGGAAAAGAGAATTTCATTCAGCTGCCATGTCATCATACACACACACACACACACACACACACGGCCCCGGTGACTGGAAATAAGGGACTACAGGTTAGATTTGGCAAAAATGATTCATCATATATGGACACTTGTAGGATTAATAAGCCATCTTTCTTATGTCTTTATCACATAAATTGGAAAATATTCTCTCAATAGATATATCTATGACCAATTTAAATTCTATATCTTTAAGCCTTAAAATATTTTTTTATAGGTGATATACCTGAAGGAATTGGGAAATTGGATATGCTTCAAGAGCTATATCTTGATCATAATAATTTACAAGGTATTTTTTTCATCAAGTTATGATATTCTGCCTACTATAGTTTTTTTTTTCTCTAGTTGTTTTCTTACTATTACTATGAACAACAAAGCATTTTCTTTTCCTACTTTTCCTTTTGTTTATAAATTTGTGTATGAGTGAATTTTTCTTTTCTAACAATTTAAACATAAAAATAAGTCTTTAGTTTTTGTTGGCCAAAAAAAGTTTCCTTTTCCAATAATTTTAGAAATGCTAGCAAGGATGTCTTGTGGAGTATTTTGTTCGTTTGGAATAGACGAAGCTGTTATTGTAAAATGGTGACTTGGAGTATTGTGTAAAACTTTATTTCTTTATAATCATTTTGCATCCAATTAAATCTTTAGTCCATATTTCAGTCTATATAAAATGTATTGAAAAGCTTCAGCACATGTAAAAAAAGCATGTTTTTCTTTTCATGTGGTTCATTTTGCATCATGACAAACAGTTCTAATGACTCTAAAAATAAATTATTACACTATGAAATCATGATATACTTAATATTTGTGATAATTAAGTATTTTTAAACAAAAAGTATGTGTTTTGATTAATTCATTTCCACCTAAAACATCCCTCAAATTCCATGTAGGATGCCTATCACATGAATTGCATCCGCACGATTTATAATGCATCATCACTCTTAATGATGTGTTTTTTTATGTTGTCATGTATGCAGGAGATATTCCTGAAACAATTGGCAATCTTACAAGTATAAAAATAATGGCCCTAGATGTTAATTAATATTTTCTAGCTTTTTAAATAAATTTATCAGCGCCTTTGTTGGAAATATTTGTTTTTCCTTTCTGTCCTTTTACATTTGGGTTTTTTAATCATATCCCAAACAATAATTCTAAGGAAATGGGTGATCTTCTAAGATTAAAAATATGAACCCATTCACATAAGTGCCCATGATTTTTTTTGTCTTGCTTTCTACCTTTTGGAGTTTTGGTGCTCTTGAAAGCAATGTGTAAGTCATTATTTACATTTATATGTTCATTATCTTTGATCGTTATACTTTAGATCCCTCAACTACACATTCATATTTGTAGTTCACATACACAAGATTTGTGTTGTCAAATTTCCAACGCTTTGGTGTCCATCAAAGAGGGAAGTGTTACTATTTTTACCTCTGTTTTTTGGGCTTGAAAACATAAGTAAATATATAAAACTATTCTTGATTCCAGGAAGATTTACTCTTCGAAGTCCATTCATGCTGTTTTCTTTTGAGTCTCTTTATAATTTTTTAATTTTCTTTTTTATTTTACACTTATTCTCATGAAGATTTTTCTTTTAATTCCCTTCATAGATAGATTAGAGCTATTGAACGAATAAATTTGTCTTTGTCCTTGTTAGCTCCCTTTTTGTTTTCCACATCAACACTTTTTTTTAATACTACTAGGATTTCTCTTTCCCTCATTGCTTGTTTAGAATGCTAAGTTTTGGGGCAATATCGTGCGGAATTTTTTTTGTTGAGAATGAATTTTTTTTTTTTTCAATACTACAAGCTAGGACTTCTCGTTCCCTCACTTTTTTTAACACGTTTTTTTTTTGGGTTTCCATTATTGCTTGTTTAGAATGCTTGTTTATAAATTTTCTTTAAAGTTTGTCTGAGGTGGATTTTTTTTGTTGACTTGTAGAATCTTTTTCTTCGCTACAAACATCTTTATAATTTTAGCTTGGACTCCTTAAAATGAGTCAGCCTATGCCCTACAAGTTAATTCTTCAACTTGTTTGCCAAATTTATGATTCTGATTCATTTTGTGGTAGATATGAATTTATAAAGGTAAATTTGTGGAAAGTTATGGTTTACATAATTATTATATAGACCCTCATTATAATTGCATATTGGAGATAATATTATATATTAATGTTGAAGTACTGTAAGTGTCCCATCATTAACATATATCATATTTGTTTAATTGAGATTAAAAACAATTTTTTTTGGCAACACATTAAAGCAAGTTTAAGTTCATTACTTAACCCCATAGTTTTTTGTTTGCCAAATCTAAAATTGAATATGTGATTTGACCCAAAAAAATTAAATATGTGAATTTCAATGCCTATTTTCATTGACAATGTATGATTTATATATTCCAAAATCCAATAATCAAAATCATAAATACAAGTGATATATATATTGACTATGAAATTAATTATTAGTTATTATATATAAGATGTGTTACCTTTGAATGTTACAACTTTGGTCATAATTGTGCCAATAAAATTCTTGCCTATTAGCTTCAATTGCCATTTGCACGGAACCAAAATTCTTAAGATATAATTTTATTTGAAATAACATTATAACAAATTTGCAACTACATGATTGGGGTCCAAGAGCATTATAACCTTTTATCTTCTTCAGCCATTTGTTAGTTAAAATATTAAATTCATTATGATTAGCAAATGCCAATATTGGGGGCGAACTCATTAATGAGATAGCCAAGGGTCCCAAATTGGCTTTAATACTTATTGTACACTGTCTTAATTCTAAAATTCAGAAAGAATAAGTTACCAATAGTTTCAAAAGTTATTTTGCATTTTACTTGATTCTCTTTTATTCCCAACTTCAAGATCTAGTTATATTTTGGTGGATTACACTAAATTTGATGGATCTTTTATTGATGTAACATTGTAGGAAGCATTCCCGAACAGATTGGTAATCTTAAAAGTCTAAAAATTTTATTTTTAGACACCAATATGTTTTCAAGCCAAATACCATCAACTATCTTTAATATATCTGGGTTGCAAGAGATTGATTTTAGTTGGAATAATTTGTCGGGAGGCATTCCCTCAAATATATGTCATGGCCTTCCAAATTTACAAGCTTTGGATCTTCAAGCCAACAAATTATTTGGAGCTATACCATCTGATTGGACACAATGCAAGGAACTCAAAGAGTTACAATTAGGAGACAACTTCTTCACAGGTATGTACTGCCCACTATGCCAAATCTCTAAATTCAATCTTACCAAATATATTTTGATTGCACTTTTATGCATTGGACATTGGTTTTGATCAAGACCATTAAACAAAGTGGACTTCCTTAATTTTCATCTACACAAAAATTCTCCTCAACAAATCAATTTATTTTTATATAAAAAGTCAAGAGTCCATATATAAAGCATACTTTGGAAAGAAGCATAAAGTCAATAAAACTTAGGCATTATTTTATAATTTTTAAATTCTTCTTGTTTTTTTTTCTTTTTCCAAAAGGCTTTTAACAGGCTTCGCAACCAACTGCCCCGTTTCCACGTTCCACCCTTCCTTGTGTATATATAAAAGAGAAAGTAAGACCCAATTGGATCAACTTCAACATATCAACGTTGTCCATCAAAATTTGGTATTTATATTCATTAATGTTTCTAAAATTGCAATCAAACCCACATCTACAAAAATAAAGCTTAAGCATTGAGATCCCAAAATTGTAGTTCGGTGGTTGACTATGGTTCTCGTAATGGGAGGGAACATGTTACTGATTTGGTCATTGATTGGAGTTTGAAAATATCTAATCTTGTCTTCCATTTGGTGTTCAATAGAACTAAGGTCTTTGCCAATTTTTTTTTTTTTTGGTGGAGGAAGTGATGGAAATTGGAAGAACTCATTATGATGCCATAAATTGTCTTGGAATGAGCTTCTTGCTATGATCTCTCTTACTCCCACCTCTTGCATTCAACACCTCATTATTTCTCTTCTTCTAGAAGTCCCATGCCCTGTCATCCCAAAAACAACATTTTGGTTTGGCAATCTACGAGGCCTTATTGTTACACAATATACATATGCATAGAACAACAACAACAACAACAATTTTACATGGCTATCTAATTCATTCAGACTCAAACATTGTCAAGTCCAATTAGAGGTACCACTCCCAATGTTGTGAACCAAGATATGAATCTAAGTTTATACTCATATTTAGTGTCTGATTGTGCTTTAAATAAGATTGTTTTCAATAAAGGATTACTTGTGCATAGTTTAATAATAATAATAATAATAATAATAATAAACTATAGGGTTTTAATTTTTTGATACCATATGTTAAGTCATAAGAGAATACCAAGCTGCAATAAATATAATAAAATCTCAACACAAAATAGAGAACAAGGTTTGGATAAACAAGACAGAAATAATGAGGTCAGTTTTAGGTTTTTAGCTTGTGTTTCCTATAAAAAAAAAAACAAAGAAATAACTAGGCCACATTAATTCCTGCACCACCGCTTAATTTGGACCCCGTTATTAATTATTAGTGCACTTTGCCAGTTTTTTTAGTAATCCTGTATTAGCTTGATATGGAAAGTTCTTCATTACACCTTTAACATTCCCACTATAATAAAAAAAATCAATATCAATAATCTTATCGAAACTCGACTTTAGTAAAACAATTAAACAATTAGTAAAAAAGTTTAGGAGAAATAAAAAAACTGAGCCATTCATTCTTTCAAAATTAGTACAACAAGTCCCATTAAAATTTTTTAATTTACTGGTTTGATGCATAAAACTAAAATTATATTAATATATTACGATCAATTCAATTACATTTATATTCTTTTATAGCTAAATTAAACAATTTTGGAAGTCCCCCAACAAATACTAATGAATTTCACATAAGTATTATATTAATTCTATCACTGATTTCGTTTTGAAAAATTAAAAAAAAAATTAGACTACATATATGTCCACTCTTAAGCGTAATTGCAAGACAACGTGAAATCATTAGTTGAAATGTGTGTGTGTGTGTGTGTGTAATATGGAAGGTATTGCAAATTGATTAAGATGGAAGGTTCCTGAGTCATATAATATCATAAGCTCAATGAGGATTATTTCTCTTAAAATAATTTTTTTGGTTCTAGAGTCATGCCTTTAATTTAAAAAGGGTAGAATTGGAACCTTATGGTTTTTAACAAGTTAACAATGTAACAATATTTTCTTAAAATATGTGAACATATTGGAAATACCCTTTGCTTGACTAATATGTGATTTATTAATGGGATTAGACAATTTGTGCTATAAATAAAGTATTCCTAATTGTGTCTATAAGTGTCAATCTTCTTTCAGGTCATTAACCAAAAAGCATTGGAAACTTGCTATAAAAATTTCTCGGGATTTAAATGAAAATTTTCTAATTTAAAATCTAAGTGAGTTTAGGTATTGTTTTTCACTTAACCCAAAACTCATTTATTTTTTCAACTTTCATTTTTATCTTATTTTCGATTCGGCTTTATTACTCCTATATAATTCAAAAAAATTAATATTTTGAATTTCAAGTATAATATTTTTGAATAATAGTTTCAAAATAATACAAATTTAAATGGTTAAGTATACATTATTTTCATTTAGGATTGAAACAATTTTTATGATTTTTTAAATTAATTTTAAAATTTAAAATATTTAAAAATTAGGATTTTTATTTAAAATTATTCTAAAAGTTAAATAAGAATACATTATATCGATTATGATTTGGTAAAAGTTATGATATATTATTAGGCAAAAATACGTTAAACCTTTTGAACTTTGAGACAATTGCAGATGAACCCCCTCACCTTTAAACTTTTAAAACTAACCCCCTAACTTTTAATTTTGCTTTTTAAAACCCCTGCTGTTAATTAGCTGATTGGAAAATTCCAGCTTGCATTGGAGGTTTATTTGCTCTTCAGCACCTGATTTTTCATAGTAATAGTTTTGAGGGCATTATTCCTCCAAGTGTATCAAATTTGTCAAAATTAGAGACACTAGATTGGACTTAAATTTTATCCATGCATCTATGCAACTCGAGATTGGAAGGCTTCAACATTTAAAGATTTTACATGTAAGAGGGAACAATCTTTTAGAAAAAATACCTCCAACTATTTTTGACTCATCTTCACTTGAGCGGATGTCTTTGTCATACAACACCTTAATAGGTTTTTTTTTTTTAATAATGTCAGGTAATTTTATATTTTCTCTAAATTATTTCAAACAATTTTGTAGGTGTTCGTGTGTCTTAAATGTTTGTGTTTTTTCATTTTGCCTATTGACATCATTAGAGTTTTAATTGAGATGCATGGAAAGAAATAAGAAGGCATGGAACTAGCTTTTGATTGAAGGGGACCTAATATTTTAGATGATGATGCGACACATACACACTCACGCTTGCACTGATTTGAAGAAAAGAGGAAAAGGTATAACAGAAACAGAGTGAGAGATCAAGAACAGGGAGGGAGAGAAAAGACAGAATACAAAGAGATGAAGAAATTAGAAAGATGAAGGCAGAGCAGTGGAGGGGAAGGAGGCAGACGAAGAGGGGAGAAAGAGAGAGCTTTCATATTCTAGTATTCATTCATCATCAAAAGGTCTAAGAACTCTCTTACATGTGCTGCATGGCAGCTTTTTATAGAAGCAACAATAAGAAGTAAGCATAAAAATAAAATAAAATATAAGCTTGAAGTTTCCTTCCCTATGAGGATAAATTTACTTGCAGCTCATTTAATACAGGAAGTGATAAAACAGCCCACTTGCTGAATAGAGTAGAATACATAAAGTAATAAAATATAAAATTAAGATAGATTTCCTCTCATAGCAGGTTTCTTTAAAATATATTAATTTCTGTATTTCATCAGATGAACTGGTTTTGAATCTTATAATTATTGTTGTAGGATCTAATATTAGGCTTTAAATGTTTGGTATAAAACATCAAAAGAAAAAGTTCAAGCCATATCATATAGGGGCCAGCCACTGGAATAAATAAATCAAACATATGATGGGTAGAAATTAATTAAATATTCATTACTAGCTTTCAAGCTTTTTTTGTTTGGCTTGAATTAAACTATTTAGTATTTACTATATACCCCTCAATAACCATTACCGTTTTGACTAATTTTAGAATTTGAATTACCCTATAAGTGTAATCAATCTATGAAACTAACAAATCTTCACACACAAGGATTTTATGTACGGATGGCATAAACCATACATTTTTAAAAGATAACTATATATTTAGGCAATCTTCATTTGAATTTTATTTTTTAATTTTTTATCAATATTTTAAAAATTAATTTTATGATTTGAGAGAAATGTTATATTAGAAAATAGATGAAGTACAAGAATATAAAACTTAAAAATACAAATATATAAATATTAACAACATATTAACTTTACAAATGTACTTCAATAAAAAAATTTCTAAATAATATAAAATGAATTCACATTTTAATGATTTAGAAGTGATATAATGATATAAATTCAACAAATTTAATAATTTATTAATATTATATATATATATATACACACACAATATACACTATTTCACCCCTTTTTATGTTATAATTATTTTTGGTTATTCTAATTTTTTTATATATGTGAGTCATTATGATCAAAGTGTTTTGCGAATTTTGATATATATTGTTAGAAAATTTTCATATTATTTATGATTTATTTGTAGAGTGAAATGTATTCATTTATATTTAATTTTATTAACATTACATAAGCCGTCACAAAATTTTCAAAAGTACACAATTTAATTTTTATTTTAACTCTTTTAAAAAAATACTATATCAAAGATTCTGAAAGGTGCATCTTAGCAGTTTAAACTTACTTGTTTACTCTTGTTAAACACCATTAATTCCGTTCGTAATCTATATCATTCTCCCTCCACCATTTCTGCACAGAACAATGCAAGCACGGAACAATGCACCTTTTTTTTTATTTATCTAATAATTTATGCACTATAATAAATGAGTACAATTTCAAAATTTGTATATTTGTGCTAATGAATTGTTTTGTCCTATCATATTATGATGAGCTATGTGAAATCACAAAGCTTGCCTATTTATTATTAAGCAGAAAAACAAGTTTTCTGGAGGAATACCACATTGTTTAGCAAATGTTACCTCTTTACGAGAATTTTACTTGGACTCTAATAAGTTAATTTTAGAATAGCCTCC